TCAGTAATCTTCTTGCCTCAGCCTCCTGAATGCTGGGACTTCAGGCATGCACCACCACACCTGGCTATAATCCTTTCAATATGCTGCTAGAGTTTTGTTAAAGCTAGCCATAGAGGCCAGAGGTTCAGATTCCTCTAGTGTCTTTGTTTTTTTCTCCACTTTTAATTTAGGGCTTCCCTGAACACTCAACTTGAGGGAGGGCTTCTGTGTTGATCCAGTGTTAGGGTAGTGGGGCTTTTGGTATGCGGGTCCACTGTGGCACAGGGCACGCACTGTGACTACTTTGATGCTGCTGGTTATTGAACCCAGGGATTCACAAATGCTGGACAAGTACTTCACTGCTGGGCTCCATCCCCACCTGAGGGGCATACACTCCATCTTCCAGCTAAACCTCAGTGTTAGAGTGGGCCTATGTACAAGCACTGGCACCTATTTGAGCATTTCTCCAGGACAGCAGCTCCTGTCTTTGCTGTAAAGTGCCTCTCCTGGTTGCAGCATTCTCAGACTAGTTCCTTGTGGTCCTAACTCCTGTTGACTCTGTTTCCTTTCCCTTAGGTGAGACAGGAAGGTTAGACGGAGAGTGAAAGGAATGTCCTCTCTCCCATTAGTGTGACTCTTGCAAATGTTTCTGTTTGGAGTTTTGGTGTTTTTGTGTTTGTTTGTTTTTTAAACTAGAGAAGACCATGTTTCACAACAGTTACTCTTCCACTGCCAGAGTGGTATTTCTCAGATCATCACCTTGTGAGTCTATATGGATTTCTGGAACTAGCTGAAATCCAGTCTTGTGGCAATGGAGGTTTGGAGGAACCCATTAAAAGTGTTCTCACACTTGCACTCTTGTCAACACTCAACCCCCAGCAGTTCAACACAATTAACATTTAAGTTTTCCAATCAGGCTCCAGTAGCTTCTGCTCCAAGTAGGCAGCTCTCAGCTGTCTTCCTAGACATACCTGTCACACTAGATTTCAGCGTTGTGAGCTCAGTTCTCAGAAGGATGTGAATTTGAGCAATGACTTTTATAGGCTGTATATAAGTCATAGCTGAAAAATAATGTTCTGAAAGACGTTTTTGTTTTTGTGGTACTGGTGATTACACCCAGGGACCTGTGACTGTTAGGTGAGCACTCTATCACTCAGCTACATCTCAGTCTTTTAAATTTTTTCTTTATTTTGGGATAGGGCCGTGCTAAGTTGCCCAGCCTGCCCTTGAACTTGTGATCCTCCTCTTTCAGCCTCCCACTTGGCTACCAACAAGTGTTTGAATGCTAGAGAGGAATACTGAATGCCAACAAAATCACAAAAATCCTTTAGCTTCTCAGTTCAGTTTAAATGCTGAAGGAAACAATTTCAAGATGATTGCTTCAGTGTTAACAGAAGGGATATCAGATGTCTCTACAGCCCTGTGCAAAAATACAGAACATGGGAAGGCCAGCAAGTGCTTTCAACACTTCAATTTTGAATAAAAATTGTTTGCATTCTTATGTATCTACCTAAATTTGTATTATCTCCACCAAAACAGTATAGTTTTCAATACAACTCAAATGAACTTTTGAAAAATTTTATATTGTTTATGTATTCTCATCTGGAAGAGCTAAAATAACCTCAAAAGCAAGATTTTTCAAGAGAAAAACATCACATAAACAAAAGGAAATTCCTTCCTCGTTCTGATCATTTGCATCTGGCCTTGTGTTGTAAAAAGGAGACATTTTGCCTCTTTAGTAATTTCTGTAATAGTAAATGGAGTCACTACATTTTTATTATTTTAAGGTTTTACTTGGTACTTGAAAATTTGTCAGCAATTTTAGAATCAGAAAATATTTTTGATATGTTCAAATGGTCAATTGTGCTGAAAAGACTGATGAGGACAAACAGTGTAGAAGGTCATTACAACTCTTGCTGTGATTATTTTACTTCATCTGGAAACATTTTAGCCAGGAAATTTGTTACTTTATCCCTGTATATGTTACAAATTGAGAAAGTCATGTATCTCTTAGGCTTAGATATTCGTATATGCTGGTTTACATTTGACTTTGTTAATTTTGATACTCAATGAACAATTAGATACTGAAGAAAGAGCTTCAAATGGACTTTTCCTTCATTTAATGGTTACCTAATGTTTTTTAAGTTAATCATAAAATTTACACTTATATTTGGGATTCAGATATATACAAACTAAATAGATAATAGATCTTAAGTATTCTTACAAAATGCAAAATAAAAATCAATTATAGTAGCTATCATAAGAATTGAAAATACTGAATTTGATAATCTCACTTGGGAGGCTGAAGTATAAAATCAGTAAGTTAGGGAAGAACTGCTGAAATGGCTTCAGACTTTTAAACTAACAATGAAGTGAACTTGATATATGATGCAGATTTGTGTCTGTAAGGAAGAGCTGCATTTGCAAGAACAGCCTCCCTGGTGAAAGCCAGAGCTGATCATATGGAAGGCTTTGGAAGTTATGGTGTCTGGGACTGACAGATTTTCAGAAGCGGAAGTGTCTGTATATTGACAGACTCTCAGTGGTCAGTGTGGTCACTAAACAGGCTGCTACTAACTGTGTACTTTCAGAAGGCTTGTAACTGGACTGAGGGTCCTACTGACCGCTGACCAGAAGTCTTTCACAAGATGGAGGCAGTCACTAGCTTGCTAATTTTCAGAAGCATGGCCACTGGACCAAGGCTGTCTCTGGTTCTCAGAAGATGTATACTGACCTGAAGATCTAATTATCAGTGATTATATGTTAACAACTTGAGACTTTGGCCAAAAGTTTTTCCCCTCCAGCCCCCTTCATTTCCCTTAGCCAAACACACAGATAAGACCATAAAGGTTTTTTTTTTTTTCTTTAACCTGGGATTGAACTGAGGACCTCATGCTTGCCAGACAGGCACTGTGCCACTGAGCTATATCCCCGGCCCCCACAAAGGTTTTTTAAAAATCTCTATTTGTAAAGGTATGATTTTCAGCATGTGTTACTACTTGCATGATTTACATGCTGATTACTGAAGCAAAAGAAGAGCACTGATAGATTTTTCATTAATGAAGAAAAACTCTGGATACATTTAACGTGTCCTACAAAGGTAGTGCAGAATAAAGAAATCTGCATATAGGATGTGTCTGTCTGCAGCCTCCTCCTCAGGTCAGTTGAGCTGTTCATCACCTTCATCTACTTGACTTGAGATAAATATGAAAACTTTCCCATATTTATTCTAATAAATGATTACCTGTCTTCTGTTCTTCACACATGCTGTCCTTGTTAAACTTGGACCCTCCTTCAATCATCATTGAATTAAAAGTAGCCCAAATTTCTAGGCATCAGTCCACCTAGCTTTCTTCAACTGCTTTAAATTTATCCTCTACACATTGTTGCCAGGACAAATTTCCTTTCTTAATGTCAACTTTGGGCTAAAGATCCAGGCTCCTTACCATGGCAAATGAGGCCTTTTATTATTTGGCCTTTGTCTTTTTCTCCAACTTTAACATGTCATTCTTCAGCTCACCAGTTTTTTAAGTTTCCAAAATATGACATATTCTGCACCTGTACCAGTGCACGTGCAGTCTCTTGAGCCTGCAAAGATTATCTTACCCTCAGAAGAGTTCCTATTAGTCTTGCAACCTGGCTCCAGCATCCCTGTCTCTGGAAACTTTCTTTTTTGACTCCAGGCCACTCCTTTATTAGGTCTTTCTTTATCCTGTACAGATTCTTATACCAACATATACTGTCACATCTATATTATCTGTTAAAAACAACCACTGCTGTATACTGTGACATAATACAATGCTTACTCATTTGCTAGTATTTGCGTCACTGAACTCCACTCCCTTCCTCCCAATTCATGATTGTTTTGGATGGTACTACAAACTGAACCCAGGGCCTCAATACTGAGTTAAATATCACCCCTTTTTATATTTTGAGCCAGGGTCTGACTAAGTTGCTAAATTGCCCAGGTTGGGCTTCAATTTTCAATCCTTCTGTCTCTGCCATCCAGAGTGCTGGGATTTCCTGCAATGCCAGCTCAGTTCATGGCTTTTTGGATGAAGGCCTGTGCTTTTCTTTTTAAAACCCATGGTGTGCAGTATAGTACCTGTCCCAAACCTGGGATCAAGAGAACATTCACTGGGCTGGGATTGTAGCTCAGTAGTACAGAACTTGTCCTAGCATGAGCAAGGGCCTTGGTTTCATCCTCAGCTCCATAAGGAAAAAAAAGTTTATATAATAACAGATGTCTTAGGCCATTTGGCCTGCTTTAACAGAATACTCAAGACTCAGTAACTTATGAATGATAGAAAATTATTTCCCAGAGTTCTGGAGGCTGGGAAGTCCAAGAATAAGGTGCATCTCCTCCGTCTTTACCTGATGAAAGACACAGCAAGCTACCTTGGGTCTCTTTTATAGGGGACTACTCTTACTCATGAAGTGTCTCTCCTTATGAATTAACCACCTTTCTGCAAAGCTCCACCTCTTAATAACTTGCAAGTCTTTAATACCTTAATCAACTTGGAGGTATTAAACCCACCTCTCTTGCTGCGTTTTGAACTGCTGAACATCCCCAGCTCTTTGTACAATGAGATAGAGTCTCACTTCTTTGCTCATGTTAACCTTGAACTTGCAATGCTCCTGCTTCAGTCTCCCGAGAAGCTGGGATTACAGGCATGAGTTACTGTGCCTGGCTGGAGGTTAGGATCTTAACATGAATTTTGAGAGAACATTTTCAGACCACAGCAATGTTCTCATCAAGATCCTGTCATAGGTGTCAGGTTGCTAAAGTTTGATAGGTCCTTTGTTATACATTTTTTAGAACCATGTTTGGTAGCTTTAATTGCCAAAGTGAAATAACTGCCTATTTTTGTGTTTAATATATCTAGGTGGCAGCTCACAGGATAATGGTAGATACACTTTTATAATAACTTCCAAGCAATGAAAAAATTCTAAGGACAGGAATTGGGTAGATAACTCCCAATTCACCGTTATTAATAGTAAAACAAAGAAATAGACCACACTTAAATTTTTCTGCATTTTAATGAAATCCATGCACAATGTTTGACATTAGGTCAGGAAAAGGATAAACCATAGAGCATGAGAGGTAGTTTACAATTCATTTTTATATTTTATTTTGGTCCTTTTCTCTAAAAATGTATTATTTATTGGATCCATCTTTTTTGTTATTAAAACATTATAAAAATATTTCCAGTGTAGTTCAGTGTTTTTCTAATGAGAAATCCAGAGCACAACTTCTTACCCACTCAGATATTTTCAATGATCACATGTCTAGTGTATACTCTTATAGAGGAAAAACAAGTATATTTTACAAATTCCCAAAGTCAAGGTCTCCAGCTATAAGTTTATTTCAGGTCATTTTTAAAAAGTGTCCAGCTGACATGAACAATTTCCTATCTAATACATACTTAAGATTTTATCCATGAGACTTAATATTTGATGAGAACTAAACGATTACAGGGAATTTTTTTTTCTTTTTTGCCTATCCACGACATTATATCACTTTCAAGTGTGTATTTGATGATGAGCTTTGGTTTTAGGCTTTTACACATGCAAATATACTTTCTAGGGGTCCTCTTCCATATGAATTTTATAATGATTAGTCAGGGATGACCTGTGGTTGAAAAGTTTCCCACATGTGTTACACTCATAGGGCTTCTCTCCTGTATGGATTCTCTGATGTGCAATACGTGAGGAGCTCTGTCTAAAAGTTTTCCCACATGTATTACATTTAAAGGGTTTTTCTCCTGTATGAATTCTTCGATGTTGAATAAGAGCTGAACTTTGGCCAAATGACATCCCACATTCCTCACATCTATAAGGTTTCTCTCCAGTATGAATTCTTTGATGATTACTAAGGGATGAGTTACACCTGAATGTTTTCCCACACTCATTACACTTATAGGGCCTTTCACCAGTATGCATTCTCTGATGTTGAATGAGAGCTGAGCTTTGTCTGAAGGCTTTCCCACACACCTTACATTTACATGGTTTCTCTCCAGTATGAATTCTCTCATGAATAATAAGGGTTGAATGGGAACTTAAGGCTTTGCCACACTCATTACAATTATAAAACTTCTCTCCAGTATGAATTATTCGATGTCTATTGAGCCGTGAGATAGAAGTGAAGCCTTTTCCACATTCATTACACCTGTATGGCTTTTCTCCAGTGTGAATTCGTTCATGTTGAATGAGTGATGCACTCTGACTGAAGGCTCTCCCACACTCACTGCATTTGAAAGGCTTCTCTCCAGTGTGAATTCTCTGATGATAACGAAGGGATGAGCTAGACTTAAAGGTGTTACCACATTCACTACATAAATAAGACTTTTTTCTGGAATAGAGTCTTTGACCAGGAAGGGGTGTGTTGCAACTAGATGCCTTCCTACCTGGATTATATTTATAAGGGTTTTCTCCAGCATGGATTTTCTGATGTATAAAAAGGCCTGACCTTCGGCTAAAGGCTTTACCACATTCCTTACACCTATAGGATTTCTCTACAGTGTGGGTTCTTAAATGTTTATAAAGGGATGTACTGAGAGTGAAGGCTTTCCCACACTCTTTACATATGTAGGGCTTCTCGCCAGTATGAATTATTTGATGCTGAATAAGAGCTGAACTTTGGCTAAAGGCTTTTGAACATTCTTTACATTTAAATAATTTTTCTCCACTATGGTTTTTCTCATGTTTACGAAGGGATGAAGTGTTAATGAAGGTTTTGTCACACATACTACATTGATAGCGTTTCTCTGCTGTGATTTTTGGTTGAGTAGATAAATTTGAGTTCTGTCTGAAAGTGTTTCCTTGCTTTTCACATTTAGGTGGTGTTTTCTCTCTGGTAACAACTGATTTGGGGCTGAAGTTTTGGCTGGATTCAGTACTCTTATGGCTTTTTTCTATAGTCAAGATATTTTTGTGGGTGACTGAAACTATCTGAAAATGTTCCTTTTTATCTGGCTTCTTTTCAAATTTGTCTTCATATGTACAAAGTTTTTCTGATTTCAAGTCCCAGGGTCCATTCATTTTGAGTTTTTTCATTATCAGTCCCTGAAACAAAGAGTCTTGTGTTTGAGTTGACTTTGTAGTTTTATGATTGCTCTTCCATCCTGGGGGTGGAAATTAAAGATGTTATTGTTATATCATAGAAATCAGCTACTGAGACTAAACATGTATAATAAATAATAATGCTTTTGAAATAAGGTCTTAGTATCTGGAAAAAAGATAGCATGATGAAAAAAGAGTTAGGCAGTACATAAAAATAATTGATGAGAGCAAAAGTACTAGAAGAAGATAATAAAGCAAATTCATTTAAAGAAGTTAAGAGGGAAGAGAGTAAAGAGGAACATGAGTTAGGAAATGAAGTTGGGGATCAGAATCCAAAGCCCCAATGGACTTCTAAATTATTATCTTGACATTTTTCTTCTCTGCATAATCATTCCTAATCTGGACAGCCTTCCCTCTTTTTAAAAAAAATTTTTTCCCTCACCTGTTTCATGTAAATTCCTTTGTATCCTTCAGATTCAGTTCAAAAATTCATACTCTGCATCCCAAACTTCCATAGTCCATTGTCTTTACTATAGCACTTACAGCATTTAACTTATAGTTAAATGTCTATAGAATACCTACACATATATAGCATATATTTACGTATCTTTCTATATCTACATATATCTCACTCTCCTTTTCTACATAAGTGCTCTTTACAAGTAAATTAGTATGCCCTACTTTCCTACTGATTTTCTTGATGACATTCCAATTACATATAAAAGTGAATATACTTACTATATACTTGTTAATATTTCTTAATTATTTAATATTCATAATTTGAAGAATGTCAGATATTCTCAATTACTTGTATATTTATTTCACATGTACTTGCATGCATGTGTGCACATGTGTGCTTAGACAGATGCAGACACATGCACACACACACACACACACACACACACACACACCCTTGCAGAAGCTGCCTTCTAGAGTAGTATATGGGTAATTGGGGAGGTGTGAAGGCAGTTCACCCAGGAAGTCATCACTGAATAATCCTACCCAAGTGCCATAAGACAGGATAGGACCAAGAGCTGCAAGCTGGGAAAGTAGCCCATTCCTGTATCAAGAAAGAGGTTAGGCAGAATGCACTGATGAAAATCAACAAAGATAAGACAGACACGAATATAAAAAGATAAAGCAAGATTAGTATTACAATTAGGTAATGACATAATTTGGTAAATATTTTATCACAAGAATGTTTCTGCACAGAGATGGGCATTTTCTTCTGGGCTAGATGTAACTATTTAAAGGGATTTTTTGCCTTTTGTGTTTGAGAGTCCTTTCAATGACATTAACTTTCTGATCTCAGTACATATTCCTTTTGCTTAGTGACCATCATATATTCTGCTTTCCTCTTCTACTACTATTCACTTCTCAGCTTCCTTCTTAGACAACTCTTCCTTCTTTAGGGAACCTTATTCCTTAAGGTTTATTTTATTTATTTATTTTTTTAAATTTTTTTTTGAGACAGGGTGTTGGCCTGTAGTCCAGGCTGGCTGTGAACTTGTAGCCATTCTCTTGCCTCAGTCTCCCATGTGCTGAGATTACAGGTGTGTGCCATCATGCCTATCTCAGATTTTGAAATTATTTTCACTCTATACAACCCCCCTTGACTAATTTTCTATGAACTCATACTTTTACTATTTATTGTAAGGGAAAGAGAGGTTTTCTTCCTTTCTGCTTAACACTCTCCTACTTCCTTCTCCATCTAAGGCATACTAAATAAAAAAATCAAATTTCAATTCATTATTTGGGCCAAATATATTGGGAGTGCTTCTCCCTGTGTATATCAGTGACCATTTCTATGTTGCGCTGGGAATAAGACAGCAAGATTTTCCAATCTAGATTCTAGCTCATAAGGTAAGGTAGAGAATCTGCCTTAGTGTAAAGAAAGGCTGCAGCTCTGACACCAACTCACTTTTACTAGATCCCTGAGCATCAGGGTCAGGCACCTAATGGAATTTTGTTTCCATGTATTCCTGTCTCTTCCACAGTTTCCCAACTATTATCCCTGCTTCAGTCTTGTGCTCTGCCAACTCAGTCTCAATGTAGTCAGGTAATCTTTCTAAAATCTACCTCTTGGGGCTGGGGATGTAGCTCAGTGGCACAGCACCTGCCGGGCATGTGGGAGGTCCTGAGTTTGATTCCTGGTACCAATAAATAAATAAATAAAAATAAAATCCACAACTTATGTTGAAAACTTCCTTAAGATCCTCTGAAAGATCTTCAATGATTCATAAATGAGGTCTAGAGTCCTTACCATGAATAAGGCACTGTATAATCTGATCTTTGTTCACCTCTGCTCACATCTCCTGCTCCTATTTACTTTTTGCAGTTTCTGGCACATTGCATGTTTATTTCTTGTTTCTTTATCTTTACCTATGCTGAGGACATCCTTTTCCATTCATGAATATTCATTACTATGGGCCAGGTAATATTCTGGGGAATGCAAATAATGTGTTCAATAAGACAAGGTCCCAGCCTTCAAGGAGCCTATGTTTTTGGGTGTTATGTGTTGCTTATGCACGTGTTGGGGATGGAGGAGGGATGAAATAACAAGTGATACGGAAATAATAAAACCTGCAAGGCTTTCAAAGAGCTTCCTAGGCAAAGAAGCCAGCAAACCCAAAAGTGCGGCTGACTTCTGAGAATAGCAAAGAGCTTGACTTGGCTGGAGTGCAGTAAACAAGAGGAAAAATGGCAAAGTAAGACAGAAGCACACGGTGGGGCAAACCACATAAGGCCTCTGAGGTCTTGCTCTGGACTCTGAAGTTTTATTCTATGGAATGGGGATTATGGGCTCACTTGAGGTGGCTGCTATATAGAGAAGATACTACATGGGGAGAGGGGGAACAAGTGGAAGCAGGGGCAGAAGAGGTGCTTTAGGGAGCTCCTGTAGTTGTCTCCTGTAGGTAAGAGATGGGGTACAGGGACAAGGAACTGCATCAAGATACATGCCAAAGGAAGTGCCCGAGAGGGAAAGAGGAAGTTACAGACCACACCTAGGTTTCAAGCCTGAAAATGAGGGCTGCTGCTAGTGCCTGAGAAGGGGGAGGGCAGGAAAAGGGCGAGCATGAAGGGGTATTGCATTTAAGACATGTTTGTGAGGACTGAGATTCCTTGGTAGTCATTGAAAGAAGGAAGATACTAAAATAGTTGTATAGACTATTCTGCAGATCTGCAAAAGGTCAGAGCTAAAGATACGCTAGCTAAAGATATGTGGGAGTCATGAGCACAGAGGTTTTATTTAAAGTTGAAGAACTGAATGAAATCCCCTTGGTTACTGAAACATTTGGAAGTTAAGAGAAAAATCAGGAGAGTATGATGTTCCAGAAACCAAAAGAAGAAGTTACTTCAGTAGGGACAGGTCAGAAGTTCAGAGTCCAGAATGATCTTGCCGACGACCACCACTCTAACTACTTCCTGTGCATTTGTAATCATCCTCCATAATGTGGAAAAGAGAAATGCTAGTTTAGAAATTTTCTTGTTGGCAACCAGTTTTTAAATCTTTTACTTACGGAAAATTTATAGCTTATACAAAAGTAGAGTGAATTATATAATGAATCCCCAAGTCAACTTCAATAGCTACCAACAATGTTCCATCTACAACTTTATTATGGGTTGACTTGTATCACTATCCACCCCCAAAAATGTTAAAGTCCTGCCTTTTAGTACCTCAAATTGTGACTTTATTTGGAAATAGGTTTTTTTAGATTTAATTAAATTAAGATGAAGTTGTTAGGGCAGAATCTAATCCAGTGATGAGTGCACTTGGAAAATGGGGAAATATGCCTATAGGCATGTACAGAAAGATGAAGCAAGACTGATACAGCTGCAAGCCTGGCAGCACCAAGGACTGCTGGCTGCCACCATAGGCCAGGGAAAAACAAGGATCAATTCCACCTAGTATTCAAGGGACACCGTCAATACCTTGACCTTCGAACTCCAGGACTATGAAACAATAACTTTCTATTGCCTTATACCACATTATTCTATACTGAGTATTGCTGCAGTGGTACTTTGTTATACCAAATCCCAAAAATCTCTTCCACCAAATTATGCTAATACAGATCTTGGACATCAACCACTTTACCCAAAAATGTGTTAAACTACTTATTACTTCTACTAAAATTAACACTATTGTTTGCAGTTATTTTTGCCCTTAAGATATAAACTACAAATAAACTGCTATGACATAAAGAAACAAAATAATTCTCTATGATGCTATGCTACCAGTCTCAAACACAACTAGGGTCATTTGTTTCATTAGGTTTTCAGTATTTAGGGGATATTTTCCCATTTTTATTAATTTTGACTTATAATTTTATGAAACATTTTTATATTTCAAAAGTCAAAATGGTAAGACAAGAACCTTCAAAAAATTCTAGATTCTATCCCTGTTCCCACCATTGTTTTTCTTTCTTTTCTTTATAGGTAACCATTTTTATTGATCTGATTTTATTTTATTTTTTTTCCTCTTTTAAAAAATTATACAAGTACTTTTTGTACTCCCAACTCTTTCTTAGATAACAGTACTATACTTACTGCTTTGTTTTGCACTTTTGCTCACCTGCTAATATAATCTGGTGATCACTTCACAGTGGAATTTATAAGAGTCTTCTTGATTTTTTTTTACAGCTCATGGAGTTTCATCGTATAGATGTGCCACAGTTTATTCAACAAGATTCCTTTGCTGGGAATCTGGACTGACTCTAATACCCTGGGACTTTACATCAGCACATGACAAAGGTAGCTTTAAAACACTTTTTATACTGCTAATAAGCAAACATAATATTTCAAAAAGTCCTAGCACAAAGCAGACCTGATGGACTAACATCATGAAAAACTACATCAAGACCACCTGTTTCTCAGGCAAAAAGGGAGTTGTCCAGGACATCAGGACTACTCGCCAGTATGAGAAAGCTCTCTGTGTACAAACAAGGCGAGAGCTTCAATATACAAGTGAAGAGGCAGAATATTTTATACTATAATTTGAGGAGAAAAATACGGAAACATTTGTATGTGCAGAGATAAGTGCTTCCAAACGTTGCTACTAACTGTTGTTCACATCCCACTAAGCACGTAGTATTTTCCCTCTAAATATATTTCTATATATGTGTTCTATACTTGTCCATTATCCCTCTTGTCCCTCAGCAGGTCCACTTTGGCTTCTAGTCTTACTTACCTTTGCTAAGGCCACTATGACCTCCATGTAGCTAAGACAGGCCACAATTAAGTTCTTACCTAATTCATCTCTAAGAAGCATCTGACAGTGACCCCTCACTTCCACTGAGGCACACTCTTCCTAAGCTACAGTAACTATAGACTTTCCTCCTTGCTCTTCTCATTTTTCACAGCCTCAACTGTGCACATTCATTTTCTTCTATCTGTTCTTTAATCCCTGGAGTCCCTTAGGTAGTCTGTCATTCTGCCTCTTTCCAGGGGCCAGCTTCAATTACAACTTTACACATGAGACAAGACTTCTTTATTCTCCACTCCCCCTTATGAAGACCATCTACTCCAAATGGCAACTTTGTGTCTCTAAGGCAGCTCAAAGTCAACATGCTTAGAACCAGATTTGTGATTATTCCCTACAACACATTTAACCTCTTTTTTCTGTCAATGGTACTAGTTCTCAGTCAAAAACTTAAGAGGTGTCCTTGGCACCTCTCTTTCTTTCAGCCCTGTCATCTAATCAGTTACCAAGACTGACTTACTCTACCATCTTAACATGTCTCAAATCTACCTACTTCTCCGTACCTCTACTGTTACTGTCCTGTTGGGATCTTTGACTTCTGTTATGGTTGGGGTCTAAACATCCCTTAATAGTCTCATGTGTCCATTTCTGAGGCTTTTGGAAGGTGACTGATCATGGGGGTGTGAATGGATTCTGGTCTTTCTCCTGCCACTGTTCCTCTAATTCTGTACTCTCCTAGCACTGTGTGTCTTTCGCTCCTGGTCCTCAACAGTATTTGTCATGCCACACCCTGGGTGTTGGCATCTTCACCCTCATCCTGTCACTCAGCCTTGAGCTCCACGAGGGTAGGACTCACACCTCCTCCTGCCCTGCCAGCACCTGGCATAGAGCTCACTCAGCCTTATGAACAGTCAAGTGGTGGGCAAGGGTACAAGCTGGGCCTCCAGCTCCACAGCCTCCAAGATAAACCTCCCTCAGCCCCAGGGTGCCACAACAGCTGCTTCTCTACGGTCACCTCTCCCATTTCTCTCTTCTGACCACGTCATCTCAGGCCTAGTCACAGATTCCTCTTTCTTAACCATCTTGCAAGTGCTGGTTCCTGGGATTCTGTCCTCTGGTCTGTTCCCTCACCTGGTCAGCTCAAGGCTGACAATGCCACCTTCTCAGTGAGGGATCCCTGACCTTCTCTTGGGAGTCCCAACATGTCCCTTTCTCCTACACACCTGCTCACCAGCGATCTGCACCAAGCACTTGGCTCACATTTCAAATGAAAGCCGTCTTGCCCTGAGCTCCTCCTGTACCCTTCGCAAGCTGGCTCCTCCCTGTCCCCCAGGACCCTCTCAGCAGGTGCCTCCTCCAGACCATAGCAGCTTCTGGCCTACAAGACTGCAATGGCTCTGGGAGGCTTCTGACCTCCAGTTCTGCCTCACTGTAAGTTTCTCCTCCACATTGCTTCAAAGGGACCA